AGTGTGAGGTCTTCTTTGTTTCTGCTCTTTAAAAAACAATTCATATTCCATTTAACTACAATAGTCTCTAAGTGGTTTACAAGATATCAGAGAAAAATAATCAGTGCATACTATAAAATGAAACCACATTAGCAAGACCACTGGAATCAAGCAAGAACAACTCTTTGTGTTGGAAGTTCAAAAGGGGCATTATGGCAATTCTACTACTAGTAAAGACACACTCAGTCATGGCAGGCTGGAATAAAGTAGAATCAGGATTGAATGGGGAGGATTTTTACAGAAATATTGGCTATTCAAGTTCTGCCAGATCATAGTAACATCCTCTGACCTTTAAGGTCACCTTGATGACAATCATGATATGAACAAAAGCTTCAGTCTGTATTACGTTCATCATGATTTTGTCATTCCTGCATGTATTGTTCTGAACATTTTCAGGCAACTTACCTAGAGGCACATCTATGAGATCTGCCATGATAATTACAATTTCACATAAACCAATGGCAGATGGGGAAACAGAATACTTATTACTGTAAATAAAACAAGTTACACTGGCACAAACATCCTGCATCTATATATCATTGATTATTTCATTTCATTTGAATGTGCTGCACGGCTGTCTCTATTGTTATGATACTTCATCAGTAACTGAGAAATATATCTTTTCAATATAATCAATTCTTTTAAAAAAAATGTATCTGGACAGGTTGTTCCCTTTTCTATGTGTAATGAATATTGCCACCCTGGTCATCAGAAAAAAAGGAAGGAGGGTGAAAAATTTTGCTGCTATGATTGTGCTCCATGTCCAGATGGGAAGATTTCAAACCAAACTGGTAGGTCATGTCATCCTTCCATAACAAAGGGTGAAAATATTTTGCTATATCCAATGAATTGCCACTAATTTGGAATTCCCCCACCTCAACCCCTTTTACAGATATGGAAGACTGTTTCAAATGCCCAGAAGATCAGTATCCAAGCAAGAACAGAAGTCTGTGCAACCCCAAAATCATAATTTTTTTTGTCTTATGAAGAACCTCTAGGAAAAGGCTTAGCTTCAGTTACGGCTTCTTTTTCTTTCATCACAACCTTAGTGTTTGCTACCTTCATTAAGCATAAAGATACCCCCATTGTAAAAGCAAACAACCGGGACCTCACCTACATCCTCCTGGTCTCCCTCCTGCTCTGCTTCCTCTCCTCTTTGCTATTCATCGGCCAACCTGGGAAAGTGACCTGCCTTCTCCGACAACCAACATTTGGAATCATTTTCTCAGTGGCTGTTTCTTGCATGTTGGCCAAGACCACCATTGTTTCTCTAGCATTCATGGCCACAAAACCAGGATCAAGAGTGAAGAAATGGATGGGGAAGAAAGTATCTTATTCAATTGCTGTTTGTTGTTCACTGGTTCAATTGTGCTTTTGCACGGTGTGGCTCTCAACCTGTCCCCCATTCCCTGATTTAGACATGCATTCAGTGAATGAAGAAATCATTGTACAGTGTAATGAAGGGTCTGTCACCATGTTCTATTGTGTCCTGGGCTACATGGGTCTCCTGGCTATCAGCAGCTTCATTGTGGCCTTCCTGGCCCGCAAGTTACCTGACAGTTTTAATGAAGCAAAGTTCATCACTTTCAGCATGTTGGCATTTTGCAGTGTTTGGTTGTCCTTTGTTCCAACTTACCTGAGCACCAGAGGGAAAGGCATGGTGGCTGTGGAGATCTTCTCCATCCTGACGTTCAGTGCTGTGTTACTGGGATGCATCTTTTTCCCTAAGTGCTACATCATTTTGCTGAGGCCTGAACTGAACAGCAGGGAGCAGATAATGAGGAGACAACATTGAGGAATTCGTCCTCTTTTCTCCAGTCATACTGCTTTGCTTGATGGTCAAGTATTTTGGCACCACATGGGATGATGTTTTTTGGTTTCAAATGCAAGAACAATTATTTTCTGGTTTTTTTATGTTGTACAACTAATATGTTGACTTTGCAATCATAAAGCTCCAGAGGGTTTGTGGTTTACCTGTTAGAGAGGAATGGCAAGCTAAGCTGTAAGACTACACTGAAATGGCAGAACTGACTGGAAAACTCATAGACAAAGAAGACAAGAAAATCAAGAAATAATGGGAAAAGTTCATAACTTATTTAGGAGACAACTGTAAGAAGATGAAATCATTAGCAGGATTTAAATCTCACTCGTAATGTAACAAATACTATGGACAATATGTATAGATACAAAAAATAGACTATGAAATGATATGCAGTTGGAAATGTTGACAATACGAACCATGAGGGGATGGGGGGAATTCCTGAGATTCAAAGAAATCTCATTTTATGGATATGTTTTTTCTATTGTGGTTAATTTACATTTGTAATATCAAATAAAAATGATTTCAGGGGGGAAAAGAGAGTATGTGTGCGATGGGGCGAGCTCCCATGGCTTTGCCCCAACATACCTGCATCAGTAGATAAGTAAGTACCGCTATGACAGAAAGGTAAGCAGTGTTTCTGTGCACTCTTGTTTCCCTCACAGTGTTCCGTTGCACCAGAAGTGGTTTACTCAGGCAGGTCACATGTTCTAGAAAGCTGTCTGTGAACAAACGCCGGCTCCCTTGGCCTGAAAGTGGAGATGAGGGCCATACCCAATAGTCAAATTCAATTGAACTTAACTGTCCAGGGTCCTTTACTTTTTACCTTTTACACAAAATACGGTACTGATTCTCCATTAACATCTCTTGCAGTTCACTATTTAAGGTCAGACAACCCTTGCTCCCTTAAAAAAGAGGGGGGGGGACTTTTTAAAATGCAGAATATAGGTAATTGCCTAGGAGGCACAGAAACAAACCAAACACCTCACCAAACACCTGCAACATGTCTCATGAAAAGACCTGTTGTGTTTCAAACTTGGTACTAAAACAAGATTCATTATGTTACGAAAAATTGCTTGCAAAATACAGTAGTACCTTGGTTTTCGAACGTATCCCTTGATGAACATTTCAGTTTTCAAATGCCGTCAACCCAGAACTAAATGTTTAGTTTAGTTTTCAAACACGCCTCAGAAGCTGAACATGTCATGTGTTAGGGGCTGGTTTGAATCAGAAGACTGGGGAATGCAATCACAGGATGATCAGATCCAGAAGAGGAGGAGACTTTCTCTGAAAGTCTGTCCTGTATTGGGGAGACTCCATTCCAGTTTCCCATAAGGCATCAATTTTCATATGAAAAGTCCATCAACCATTCCATAAGTCCTTCATAAAATATAGATTTCTCTTCATTTGGTGCATATATGTCTACAACCAAAGTTTTATTCCCTTGGATATTAACTCCCACCCCAACATTCACCGTTTTAATCAGTCAGTCAGTTTAATTGTATATATGCCAAAGGCCTTTACATCAGACAACGTGTAATAAAAGGAAACTTTCATCTAAAATCATACAACATAACATGTAAAAGGTTACAACATAAAAAGAAAGTTATAGCATTAAAACTTAAGATCGGAGTGCATTCATACGGCTACATATCTACCTCAGTCCTATAGAAAAAAATCAGTTTGGGGCAAAAGAGGGAATGCATAAATAAACAGAGATAAATTACTCACAGGCCAATAACATTTTGGATTCTAAAGAATACTACTTTACTATATGGTCAGGGGTCCCTTTACCTTTACCTACTTTATTATATAGAGACTAAAGAACATCAATTCACATACAGTTAAAACACAAATATATGCTTATTTCAGTACAGTATCCAGGGAAATCATACGTACAGAAATGATTAAATTTAATATTTAGCCATAGATGAGGTGTAAATTGCACTTCTGATTAATATGAAAAACTTCTTGTTCAGTATCTAATCTGCTTAGGGACCAGAGAAGACTCCTGCTCACAAATGGAAGACAAGATCCAACATGTTGCCTACCAGAAGGGTCAATTAGTATCAAAACACTGAGAGAGTCATTTCCCACACACAGTTCTCCACAGCACTGTCATTTGCACGTGTGGTCAAAGCTCCAGAGAATTTCAAAAGGGTAGAAGAAAACTGTCAGCAAGCAAGTCTGAAAGTTATTATAAATGAACATGTGTGCCATGGGCAGTTGGGATTAAATGCAAGAGGCAGGCAAGGACATCTATGACACTTTTATACTACTGCCTTGTTAAAGCTAGTTCTAAGGAATAGGTGCTGGGCAGCTTATAGTTAGAGAGAAGCTTTGAGGAAAGCATGTTAGGAAAAACAATGTTGCTTCTTCTTCTGCCTTCTACTGTGTCCAAAGTAGGTCCCATGAAATGTCACACAGGTGATCCCCTACCTATACCACATGAATGGTACCAGCCAGGGGGTCTCGTCATTGGTGGGATTACTTCTCAGATCATTTACTTCTTCCATGAAATTCTGTTCAAGGAACATCCTGCCCAGAATCTCTTTGACATTCCACAGTAAGGATCGTGTTAGCCAGATCTGTTAAGTTATGTTATATGTAACACAATATAAATAAACTTTTGCTGGGGAAATCGTAACAATTGGCTATAGGGAAGCAGGAGCAATTGGAAAAGATATTTCCACTCCTGTAAAAATTCAATTGCTAATTTAGATTAGTGGGATTATAGAGCAACAGCTTCACACATTGTAGGTACATATTCTGAATTAGATAAATAATTCTATTCTCAGTGTAGTGAGCAAATTCTAGCAGGATGGATTTCCCTTAGCTTTTGCTGTAAATAAACTAAGTTCAGTTAGATACAGGAACTACGAGGTTTGTAGCATAAACTACTCCTGCATTGTAGACTCATCTTCTGAATTAATGAAAGTAATATTATTGGCAGAGTCATTACCAAGTTCTACCAGCATGTTCTGGCCCTGGTGTTTGCCATAAATGAGCTCAACAAGAATCCCAAAATACTACCTAACGTGACCCTTGGTTTCCACATCTGTGACACCTATTATGATGCAAGGATGACCTATCACACCACACTGGATCTGATATTCAAGTCGCATAGCTTTTTTCCAAACTACAAATGTGCCACAGAGAAAAACCTCCTAGCCGTCATTGGAGGACTAGGCTCTGACACTTCTTTCCATTTGATGGATATCTTAGCTCTATATAAGATACCACAGGTAGGATATGTACATGGGGGCTGGTGGTAATGTCATATTTTTCTGTATTTGCAACTTGGAATAATGTGATGGTTCAAAAGAAAGAACTAGTGATGAGAAAGGACTTCAGGATGAGAACAGAAATCGTGTTCCGGCACCGTGGCGGTAGCAGGAGGCCCCATTAGCTAAAGTGGTGCTTTAGGTTAAGAACAGTTTCAGGTTAAGAACGGACCTCCGGAACGAATTAAGTACCTAACCTGAGGTGCCACTGTATCTTTATGTTTTATTACAGCTTACATATGGCTCATTTACCATAGATGAGACCAAAATAATGAAAGTTGCTCCCTTTTACCAGATGGTCCCAAACGAAAACCTTCAGTATATGGGGATTATATGGTTACTTCAGCATTTTAGGTGGAGCTGGGTTGGGCTCTTTGTTGTGGATGATAACAGTGGAGAGCAATTCCTAAAGATCCTGGAGCCATTGTTTTCCAGACATGAAATTTGTTCAGCCTTCACCAAAAGAATCCCACAAGAAGCTCATATGGAGGATTTCATAAATCAATTTTTTAATAAAAGTCCAGTTGATGTATCCTTCCAAGATCAAAAAGCTGGTACAATTATCATGTATGGAGAATCTTTAATCATTTTGCGGCTGAGAGTTTTTATACATTCAGAATATTCAGGAAATACAGAAAACCCATTATTTGGAAAGGTGTGGATTGTGACAACCCAGACAGATTTTATATTAGCAGGTTCTTTAAGAGGATGGGATTTTCAGATGTTCCAGGGTGCCATTTTATTTGCTATTCACACAAAAGAGGTTCCGGGTTTCAGGGAATTTCTTCAGAATATAAAACCTGCCAGGATGGAAAGAGATGGTTTCCTCCAAAATTTCTGGGAGCAAGCATTTGATTGTTCCTTTCCAGATCCAGGTATGCCTGTGATGGATGATGACACATGTACTGGAGAGGAGAGGCCAGAAAGTCTCCCTGCAGGTCTTTTTGAAATGCACATGACTGGACACAGCTACAGTATCTATAATGCTGTTTATGCTTTGGCCCATGCTTTGCATGCCATGGACTTGGCTAGATCCAAATATAAACCAAAGGTAGTTGGTAACAGTGTCGAACTTCAGTCTCTGCAGCCTTGGCAGGTAATGTTTCCCCAACAAATGCTTTGTAGTTCAGTGAACAGTTTGGTACAGGTTGAGAATACATTAATTTTTGTTCTGCTTGGATAGATAATGAGAATATTATACATGTTCTTCTTTTGAAAATGTGGTTTACATTTCCTTTCTATGAATGAAAGTTGAAAGGACGGCCATTCTGAAATCCTCAGCATGCTGTTATTCTGGTTTGATTTCTTTCCCTCTTTTCAAATAGCTCCACGTGTTTCTTCATGACATCTCTTTTAACAACTCTGCTAGAGAAACTATGTCCTTTAATGATCATTGGGAAATGAGCGCTGGATTTGATATCATGAACCTGGTCACCTTCCCCAACAATTCCTTTCAGAGAATAGAAGTTGGAAGTGTTGCTCCATATGCTGCTGATAGGAAAGTGTTTACCATTAGTGAGGATAAAATTGTGTGGCACAAATATTTTAATGAGGTATTGATTCTACATTTATTTTGGAGAACCCATTGTATTGAACTATGACGTAAGGAGTGTTTTTGCTTGCATTAATTCTTTTTCAAATTTAGATGTTTCATTCTCAAATCCCTTCTTTCTATCCAAACTTAATCTATCATTTATTTGATAATATTGCAACCAGTCCATCAGGTATATTCTAATTTCTTCGAATTTCTTTAAGTTGAATTTATTATTGTTTTTTTCTAACAACATCCTGTATGTCGCCCAGTCTCCTTTCGTGTTCTTCTTTTTTACCACCAGGGCTTCTGTGGGTGACATTGACTGGGGAATCTTAGTTTCTAATAATGCTTTTTATTTGGCCCATATTTTATAAAGTTATTTTCTTATTATGTGGTTCAAAAACCCCTTGTGTGCCTTCACCTTCTCATACACCAGATACACGTGCCAACCAAAGCAGTTATCAAAACCCTCCAGATCCAGCATGTCCGTATGTTTTAATATGATCCAGTCTTTAATCCATACCAACCCGGCAGCTACATGATATAATTCCAAATCGGGAAGAGTGAACCCTCCTCTCTCCCTCTGGTCTATATGTAACTGATGTTTAATTCTCGGCTTTTTCCCATTCCAAATGAATCTAGTGATGTCTTTCCTCCAATTTTGAAAATATTCCATGACCCCTAAAATTGGGATGGTCTGGAATAGGAAGATCATTTTAGGTAAAATATTCATTTTAACTGCTGAGATTCTGCCCCAGACGGAGAGATGAAGTATTCCAAATTTCTAAATTTTTGTTTATCTCATTCCAGGTTTTGGTGTAATTATTAATACATTTTGTAGATATCCAGATTCCCAAATATTTTGCTTTGTTCTTGATCTCCAAACCCGTAATTTCCTGTAGATCCTTCTACTCCTCAGCTCTCATGTTTTTAACCAACAAGTTGTGGTTTTTTTGTAGTTTATTTTAAATCCTGCTAGTTTACCATATTCATTAATCAATTCTATAGCTAATGGGATACTTTCTTTGGGATCTTCTGTTGTTACTATCTAGTCGTCTGCATAGGCTCTTACTTTATATGCTTTTTCTCCTATCACAACTCCTTTTATTCTTTCCTTTTTTTCCAAAGTTTTCATTAGAGTTTCCAACATTAATATGAATAAGAGGGGTGACAGAGGACATCCTTGCCTAGTCCCTTTCATAATCTTGATATTTTCCATGACATCATCATTTATTACCAGCCTTGCCCTTATTCCCCTTTTGAACCTTTCTCCAAATTCCATTAATTTAATTTGCCTTTTCATAAAACACCAGGAACCATTGTCTATTGCCTTCTTTGCATGTATTAGCATCACAGCTGCCTGTTTTTCATTCTTAAATTCTAGATATTCCAATATATTGACAATATTACTGGTGTTGTTTTAAATTTGCCTTCCTGGTAGGAATCCAGCTTGGTTTGGATGTATTATTTCTTTTTAAACATGTTTTAACCTATCTGCTAGAATACCAGTGAAAGGTTTGTAATTGCAATTCAACAGAGATATTGGTCTATAATTAGATGCTAATTCTAGATCACTTCCCTGTTTTGGTAGCAGTGTGACATAGGCTTCAGTCCATGATTCTGATACCTTCCCTCTGTTACAAATATCATTCATTACTTCTTTTCAGGGTGTTGCCAATGTCTCTTCTATTTTTTGTAATACTCCACTGGGATTCCATTTGGACCTGGCATTTTCCCCGGTTTTGAATTTCCATAATTGAAACAGGGGTGTTTAACGTCTTTATCTTGTGTGGTGCTGGGAATTTTATGTTGATTTAAATATTGTTCTATTTCTTCTGGGTTTTCTAATTCCTTTTTATATAGCTCTTTATAGTATTTCACAAAATTTTGTATAATCATTTTTGGGTCATCTGTCACTCTCTCTCCAATTCTAAATCTGTTAATTAATTTTTCACTCCGCCTTTTTTTAAGTTGCCAAGCAAGAAACTTATCCAGTTTATTGGCAAATTCAAAATTGCTGTGTTTCAAGATTTTCAGGTTCCATTCAATTTCTTGTTCTAACATAGATGAGTAGTCTGCTTGTAGTAATTTTATTTCTTGTTTTATTATCTCATTGCTCAGGGGTTTTTTTTTAATAAGTTCCTTTTCTTTCTTTCTTTTCCTCTAATAATTCTGCTTTTTTCCTTTTCTTTGAAAAGAATTTTGCTGTATAAAGTAACCCCTAATCACTGCCTTGCAGGTGTCCCAAATCACTTTGATGTCGGTACCTTGATTGTTATTAAATTCAAAAAATTCATCTAACGTCTTCTTGGCTCCTTGAACTACTTCCTAATCATTTAACAGAGATCCATTAAGTCTCCATCTTCTTATTCCTTTTATACGTATACCATAAATCAAACAAGTTACATGGGCACAAACATCATGCACCTATATAACATAGATTATTTTGTTTCATTTGAATGTGCTGCAAGGCTACCTCAATTGCTATGATACTTCATCAGTAAATGAGAAATATATCTTTTCAATATAATGAATTATTTAAAATAAAATAAAGAACCATAGATCATATCATAGATTATTTCGTTTCATTTGAATGTGCTGCACGGCTGTCTCTATTGTTATGATACTTCATCAGTAACTGAGAAATTTTTTTTTCCAATATAACTAATTCTTTTAAAAAACAAAAAAACAAAAATTTATATGGACAGGTTGTTCCCTTTTCTATGTGTAATGAATATTGCCACCCTGGTCATCAGAAGAAAAGGAAGGAGGGTGAGAAGTTTTGCTGCTATGATTGTGCTCCATGTCCAGATGGGAAGATTTCAAACCAAACTGGTAGGTCATGTCATCTTTCCATAACAAAGGGTGAAAATATTTTGCTATATCCAATGAATTGCCACTAATTTGGAATTCCCCCACCTCAACCCCTTTTACAGATATGGAAGACTGTTTCAAATGCCCAGAAGATCAGTATCCAAGCAAGAACAGAAGTCTGTGCAACCCCAAAATCATAAATTTTTTGTCTTATGAAGAACCTCTAGGAAAAGGCTTAGCTTCAGTTACGGCTTCTTTTTCTTTCATCACAACCTTAGTGTTTGCTACCTTCATTAAGCATAAAGATACCCCCATTGTAAAAGCAAACAACCGGGACCTCACCTACATCCTCCTGGTCTCCCTCCTGCTCTGCTTCCTCTCCTCTTTGCTATTCATCGGCCAACCTGGGAAAGTGACCTGCCTTCTCCGACAACCAACATTTGGAATCATTTTCTCAGTGGCTGTTTCTTGCATGTTGGCCAAGACCACCATTGTTTCTCTAGCATTCATGGCCACAAAACCAGGATCAAGAGTGAAGAAATGGATGGGGAAGAAAGTATCTTATTCAATTGCTGTTTGTTGTTCACTGGTTCAATTGTGCTTTTGCACGGTGTGGCTCTCAACCTTTCCCCCATTCCCTGATTTAGACATGCATTCAGTGAATGAAGAAATCATTGTACAGTGTAATGAAGGGTCTGTCACCATGTTCTATTGTGTCCTGGGCTACATGGGTCTCCTGGCCATCATCAACTTCATTGTGGCCTTCCTGGCCCGCAAGTTACCTGACAGTTTTAATGAAGCAAAGTTCATTACATTCAGCATGTTAGCATTTTGCAGTGTTTGGTTGTCCTTTGTTCCAACTTACCTGAGCACCAGAGGGACAGGAATGGTGGCTGTGGAGATCTTCTCCATCTTGACATCCAGTGCTGTGCTACTGGGATGCATCTTTTTCCCTAAGTGCTACATCATTTTGCTGAGGCCTGAACTGAACAGCAGGGAGCAGATAATGAAGAGACAGCATTGAGGAATTTGTCTTCATTTCCACAGTCATGCTAATTTGCATGATGGACAACTATTTCACGTACATATCAGTTAGAAGAACAGGGGCATATTGAGTTTTATTTCTCTCTCCTGCATTGTTAGCATAGATAACTGTCTCTGCAACATCTTAATTTGCTGTTATATTTCTCTTAATTGGAAATTGTTCCCGTTCTTTTTCTTTTCATCTAACCGCACAGAAACATTTTGTAGTTTCTCTGGTCTCTTTCTTTTCTTTTTATGGAATAACTTCTTATGTAAGGTTCACTTGCATCCTAAACTGTCTGTATCCCTATGTCTTTATTAAACTTATTCTCAAAGAATTATTTTAACCTTTGTTTGCAATCTTGTTCAACCTTCTCTTGTTGTAACAATTCATTAAACCTCCATCTAATAAAACTTATGAGTGTCATAATGACTGAACTGTGATTTGAGAAAAGCTTTGGTAAGATGTCTACTTTATGCATCTCAGTATGTAACTAGCCCTGGGATGGATAGAAGAGAAGTTCCCTACCAGAGAGGAATGGCAAGCCAAGCTGATGAACTATGCTGAAATGGTAAAACCGACTGGAAAACTCAAAAACCAGGAGAACAAAAACTGTATTAAAGAATGGGAAAATTTTATAATTTATTTAGGACACCATTGTAATCAGATGGAAAGAATGGCAGGATTTCGATTTCACTTGTAGTGTAACAAATACCATGGACAATATGGATTGAAATAAAAGTTAGAGCATGGAAGAATATGCAGTTGTAAATGTTGAAAATGGGACCCCATGGAGGAGGTGGGGGGAAGTCACGAGATTCAGAACAATCTCTGTATATGGATATATATTTGGATTTTTATGTAAAACCAAATAAAAATGATTTCACAGAAAAAGGGAGAGAGAGAGAGAGAAAGAGCTGGGTTCTCAATGAGATATGTAAATTGCTTTGCATCTCCATTTTTATATCTCTGTATGTCAACAATGTCCATATTATACATCATTTCAAAGAAAATCTTAGTTTACCTGGGAAAACTTTAATATTTTACCCTAAAACTCTGTTCTGTATTGGAGAAACCACTCCATTCCAGTCTCCCATAAGGCAGCAATTTTCATATGAAAAATCCAGCAACCTGTCCATAAGTCCTTCATAAAATATAGATTTGTCTTCATTTGGTGCATATATGTCTACAACCAAAGTTTTATTCCTTTGGATATTAACTCCCACCCCAACATTCACCATTTTAATCAATCAATCCATTTTATTGTATATAGGCAAAAGGCCTTTACAACAGACAACAGGTAATAAAAGGAAACTTTCATCTAAAACCATACAATGTAACCTGTAGCAGTTTACAACATAAAAAGAAATTTACAACATTAAAACTTAAGATTGGAGTGCATTCACGTAGCTACATATATACCTCAATTGGGGCAGAGGTGGGAATGCATATATAGAAAAACTCTATTTCCCCTCCATCAGTGCTGCAGAGATAAATGAATCATGTGGCATCCCATAACAATTTTTTATTTTTAAAAAATACTACTTTATTGTATATTGACTAAAGAACATCAATCCACTTACAGTTAAAACACAAATATATGCTGTTTTCAGTACAGTATCAAGAAAAAGTATACATACAGAAAGTTTTAAATGCAATAATTAGCCATAGATGAGGTATAAATTACACTTCAGAATTAATATGAAAAACTAGTTGTTCGGTCAGGCATGATATTTTTGATCATGCAAATCTGGAGTCAAGGTCCCTTATCTCATCTGCCTGGAGACCAGAAAGGACTTCTGCTCACAAATGGAAGACAAGAACCAACATGTTGCCTACCAGAAGGGTCATTTAGAATCAAAACACAGAGAAAGTAATTACCCCTCTCACACGCAAAGTTATCTACAGCACCATTATTTTCTCAGGTGGTCAAAGCTCCAGAGACTTTCAAAAGGTTAGGAAAGAAACAGTCAGTAAGCAAGTCTGAAAGTGATGATAAATGAACACCTGTGCTATGGGAAGTTGGGATTAAACGCAAGAGGCAAGCAAGGACATCTCTGACACTTTCCTCCCATTGCCTTTTATAAGCTTTATTGTAAGAAAATAGGTGCAGGGCAGTTTATATTTAGAAAGAAGCTTTGAGGAAAGCATGCTAGGAAAAACAATGTTGCTTCTTCTTCTGCCTTCTACTGTGTCCAAAGTAGGTCCCATGAAATGTCACACAGGTGATCCCCTACCTATACCACATGAATGGTACCAGCCAGGGGGTCTCGTCATTGGTGGGATTACTTCTCAGATCATTTACTTCTTCCATGAAATTCTGTTCAAGGAACATCCTTCCCAGAATCTCTTTGATATTCCACAGTAAGGATCGTCTTAGTCAAATCTGTTAAATTGCATGCATTTTGTAAATGTAGAAGAAATATGGGGTAGTATCCAAAGCTGTAAAGATTTGTGAATGGGGAAATATAAAAAGAGTCAAAGAAATCATCTTTATGTATATTCGTTGTGCACTGAGATAGAGGTGAAGTATTTTCTTATATAATAATATGAGAGATCACAAGGTTTCTTAATGCACTAGGCATTATAGATGACAAATTCATATGCTATATGTAACAAAATATAAATAAAGGCTGGTAGGTGATAATCGTAACAGTTGGCTGTAGGGAATCGAGAGCAATTGGAAACGATACTCCCATTCCTGTAAGATTCAGTTGCTCATGTAGATTAAAGCGATTATAGAGTAACAGTTTCATACATTGTAGGAACAACTTCTGAATTAGAAAAATAATTCTATTCTCAGTGTGGTGAGCAAGTTCTAGCAGGATAGATTTCCCTTGACTGTAAATCAACTCAGTTAAGTTAGATACAGGAACTACGAGGTTTGTAGCATAAACTATTCCTGCATTGTAGACTCATCCTCTGAATTAATGAAAGTAATATTACTGGCAGAGTCATTACCAAGTTTTACCAGCATGTTCTGGCCCTGGTGTTTGCCATAAATGAGCTCAACAAGAATCCCAAAATACTACCTAACGTGACCCTTGGTTTCCACATCTGTGACACCTATTATGATGCGAGGATGACCTATCGCACCACACTGGATCTGATCTTCAAGTCGCATAGGTTTCTCCCAAACTACAAATGTGCCACAGAGAAAAACCTCCTAGCCGTCATTGGAGGACTAGGCTCTGACTCTTCTTTCCATCTGATGGATGTCTTAGCTCTGTATAAGATACCACAGGTAGGATATGTACATGGGTGCTGGTGGTAATATCATATTCTTCTGTATTTACAACTTGGAATATTGTGATGGTTCAGAAGAAAGAACTAGTGACGCTTGTATTTCAAATATAATAAAACAACAGAAAAGACCCTAATGAAAACATTATACTACTAACTTATTTTTGCAGTATCTGTATGTTTTTTTACAGCTTTCATATGGCTCGTTTACCATAGATGAGACCAAAATAATAGAAGTTTCCCCTTTTTACCAAATGGTCCCAAACGAAGACCTTCAGTATATGGGAATTATTTGGTTACTTCAGCATTTTAGGTGGAGCTGGGTTGGGCTCTTTGTTGTGGATGATAACAGTGGAGAACAATTCCTAAAAATACTGCAGTCATTGTTTTCGAGACATGGAATCTGTTCAGCCTTCATCAAAAGAATCTCAAAAGGAGCTCATATGGAGGAATTCATAAATCAGTTTTACCATTCCAGTGCAATTGATATATCTTTCCAAGATCGTAAAGCTGGTACAATCATCTTGTACGGAGAATCTTCAATAATTTTGCGGCTTAGAATTTTTATATGTTCAGAAGATTCAGGAAATACAGAAAACACATTATTTGGAAAGGTGTGGATTGTGACAACCCAGACAGATTTTATATTAACAGGTGCTGCAAGAGGATGGGATTTCCAGATGTTCCAGGGTGCCATTTTATTTGCTATTCACACAAAAGAGGTTCCAGGTTTCAGGGAATTTCTTCAGAATAT